GTCATCTGAGCCAGGTGATTTGTAGCGTTTCAAGAGTTGGAGTTCCGTGTGGACTTCCGCCTCATTTGGTGGGTCGATCGTCACGGGCCATGGAGGGCAGGACAGCCGAACCGATGTTGCCGGAGCAGCAAGTCAGTTGAACTGCCCTTCGAAAAATTCTGCCCATCGTCCAAGACGTCGATGGATGTTAGTGATTGGCATTCCATCATCCTTGCAGATTGTTTCGCTCACACGACTTCTTGTTGTCAGTGGCTCGGATGAGTTGAAAGAGCTTCCGGTAGTTACCAGATGCAACTGCTGCTTCCAGCTCATTAGCACGCACCGACCACCAGGTTTCTCGGTCCTTATGCAAGCTTTGCTCAATTTCATTACGTAAAAATCGTCGTTTGTGGTCAGACTCACGGTTACCCGGAGTAGACCGACAGGCTTCAATGAGTTGTAAGGAACCAGAAGAAACCCAGTGCTTATAAACGGGACGTTTTGTGAAGCCGTAAGCGACTTTACTCGTCATTTTCATGGCGTCACACAATTGCAGCCAATGCTCAGTTATACTTTCTCGTGGGCTGGTAGCTAACCCTGAACCCAGCTCGGTTTGATATTTAGTTGCAACAGAAACTGCAGCCAATTCACTGGCACCGATCTATTTAGGACGATGAATTTGTTGGCCACTGAAACGCAAGGTAAGATTCGCACAAACAAGGGTATGATCAGAGTTCGCCCCCAAATACCCTGGTTCGGTCGAGAGTGAGGAGAGTTCGATCTCCCTCTCGAAATGCTCTCACATGGACACGCGTATATAGCCTCTGCCAGGGATGTCCTACTCACTGCCTTCTCGTGGTATTACTGTTGTTTACGAAAATGAGAGAATGAAAATGAATGTCTGGCTCTTTAACCAGATTCCAAATCAATGGTGCACATGGGCTCCACTATCCTGCGGGAACAAATGGCGTATGAACCAATCGTTGATCACCGGCTGCCATGGGGCTGCATCTCCCAACGTTGCTCCACTGCCTTGTGGATCAGACCTTCAGGTCGAAGGCTCGGGTTGTGACCCCTAAGAAAACCACCTGTTTCGGTTTGGGCACCCGGACAGTATCACAGCCCTCACGCATATCAAATGAGATTTGTTTGGCGCATATGTATTTGGTGCCTCCTTGTACCAATATCTATGTGTTAAAATAAATAAATAAATGATCAGAGTTCAGATACGTACTCCAAAAGGAGTGACAGTCTTGTACACAACCATGCCAGAGGTAGCTGATCGCGATGTGATCAATCTGAGTCCAGGGTTGAGATGCAGACAGATGACGCCAGGTGGCACATCGGCCATGACTGTGCCAGTAGTTAGTGCTAGCCAGAAACTGGTTATGGTCTGCACACAGTTGCAGTAGACGGTCCCCGTTATCTGACCTGCGATTAACAAGTCCCCATCGGTCATCTAAACGATCCTCTTGTGTCTAGACGCCCGATTTGGGCATTCAAGTCTCCGACTACTACCACAATGTCTGTCGAACGCACTTTCTGGAGAACTGCTAACCGGTGGTAGAATTTATCCTTGATCGCATCCGGGCTGCAATCTGTTGTGGCACAGGGGTAGATGACGAAAAGACATCGTTTCTCACGTCGATTTCTTCTCACATTGATGGAACTCTCTAATCTAACAGCACACAACCGACTGTTAATGGGGATCCAATCGATTAGTGCTGCCTCAGCTCTAGCGCTTAGTGCGATACCAACGCCAGCAAGACCAGACGAAGATGCCACAAGGTCACGTAAAACAAGCTTTTTGAAGCGACAGATGAAGAGCATATTTGTAGTACTTCACTAGAGTCCTGAATATGGGTTTCGGATAGACAAAAGACGTCGATATTAAGACTTTCTGAAGACAGCCAACCCTATCTGTTGTCCGACCAGCATAAGTGTGCGAACGTTGAAGGAAGCCAGTTTGAATAGTGTATGTGATTTCAGAAAGGTTGTTTCAGTATTCTTATTCGGTGGAAGCATTCAAATTTCAACCAGGCAGTGACTCGAGATCGTTTAGATAGAACAGAATTCCCACCATAGGTGAGCTGCTGTATAAGTTGAAAAATGGGGAGAATAGAGGTGGATAAGTGACGCAGTATTTAAAAAATAGTGATTATAATAAAAATGAGTGCTATCAAGTGAATGTAAAATGTCTGAATTCTAATTGAAGCGCGAATAGTATTTCGTGAAGTAATTGTCATCTCATTGGATTTGTGTGAGGGCTGTGATACTGCCCGGGTGCCCAAACCGAAACAGATGGTTTTCTTAGGGGGTCACAACCCGAGCCTTCGACCTGAAGGTCTGATCCACAAGGCAGTGGAGCAACGTTGGGAGATGCAGCCCCATGGCAGCCGGTGATCAACGATTGGTTCATACGCCATTTGTTCCCGCAGGATAGTGGAGCCCATGTGCACCATTGATTTGGAATCTGGTTAAAGAGCCGGACATTCATTTTCATAAACAACAGTAATGCCACGAGAGGGCAGTGAGTAGAACATCCCTGGCAGAGCCTATATACGCATGTCCATGTGAGAGCATTTCGAGAGGGAGAGCGGACTGTCCCCACTCTCGGCCGAACCAGGGCATTTGGGGACAGTAGCTATGTACCGTACCTTCTTTTCATTTGCATACACTTATAACAATGATGTTAATGGTATTTTCGATGCATTTGTCTTCATGAAATCACGTTTCATTTTTCGTAACTCTTCACTGCACTCATAGTTGAAATCAACCTCTATCTTATTGCTTAATAAGTTCTCTACGACGCTACACACTTGAGTGAGAATCGTAAACAAATCAACTTTACCACAGCCATATTTATGCTATAACAATTATCACGGGTCATACACAAACAGTAGAAATCCTAAATGAATAAAATGGTAACGAAATAAATCTACCATGTTTTTGAGGAAGGGTAGATACGTCTGGCAGAGAAAACTTCTTTTTCCACTTCAATTAAGTTGTACAATCGTACTTATAACTTATTTAGTTGCGGAAAAATTATCCTAAATGTATGAGTTACTCGGAACCATCATCCCAGTGCGTCATCACTTAGTTCAAGAGTGTGAAGTAACACATGCGACAAAAAACACAGGAGGATTATATTCAGCTCACTCATTAACGAAAACTAATAGGATACAATGACAATATTATCACTATTTACGCTAACAGATCAGATCCCAGTGAATAAAGCAATCGGCCTGGTTATCTTTACTGCTGATAATAACAAGACAGCTTTTCAAAAGAGCGTGTGACCATGTGCATTGTCTCGATCGAACTACGCAAATCAACTGTCTAATACAAGTTCTATCGAAATACTTATGCTTTTCAGAAGTACTTCTTAGTTCACCATTTCATCGCAATAATCTACACCTAGCTCACATGGAGCTTATGGGAATTCATATACACGATGACATGACGCTAAGTTTTACAAAGCCACTTTGAACTGTTTTCACTTCCCAATATTTATTGACAAGCCCAAACTTACCGCGTTCAATCGAGGTATTTCATTACACACATGCACCGGACTGACTTTTGCAATAGTTGTATGCTATAATTTGACTAAATTGTTGAAACGAAAGCCAACAATACCAAGTGAGCCTTTAAACGGTATATGTTTTGGATCTATGAATGCAATAGCGATCCACAACAGATAAATTGAACTGAAACAGTGAACACCCACTCACAAATTCGTTCACTGTCGCAACTGACAGACACTTCCTAGAATATATCACTACTTTCTGTGGTTACGACCAAGGACACGTTCGCAAAAACGCTTGACTAAGAATGTTTCACAAATTCCTGGTCAAAGCTAAGGTTTCAGAAGCTAGTTAGGGTGATCTACATCTCCACCCTATGTACTGGGATAGTATAAGACTGATTTAAAAAGTGCAGTATCATGTTAATAATCTGGTTTTCTATGACTGCTTCCAAGACTAAACACCCGCGTATCAAATTTTTCACCCAAATGGATAACAATGTCCACCAGGACTGCAGTTTACTTAGGTCAGCAGAATGTATTTGAAGCCCATCACATAAATGGACATCCCTATGATAATGTAAACAATCATAATGGTTTGTTTGATTACATCCTGAACATTCGTAGTCCATCAAAATCAAAGTTACCGAAAAACTTTTTCTGTATTTTTCGGATTTAGTGGCAGAACACCTCGGGTATTAAGGATGATGATTAACAATATCAATGTGGACATAGATTATCAGTTCAGTAGAAACCTGCCGGCAGATTATTTTGCGACTATGGAACATCAGTCAAGTAATAAATATGAAATAACCCCATACAGTCTGTCCGAGTTTTTATGACTGATTCAATACGAATACGAAATGCAATTGGCTCAACGCAGTAATTCATATTAATACAGCCGCATGATAAAACATCCTTTGTACATAATTTACTGCTTTCAAGTTGCTCGGCAATATTCAATCACAAACGCAGCTTTACTTAGTCATCCAGATCCAAACAGAATAGTATCCTGAAGGCATTTTATGTTTGCGGCTAATTAGTTTCAGGATGTCCGAACCGTTACTTCCTAGACGTAAACTTAAGCCAGTGATGATAAACCCACTAAAACAATACCTAGGCACTACCGCATCAGTTAGCCAGTCATCATAAACGTAAGACCACGCACAGACCTACCGACTCAAACCTTACCAGCGAAACTGTCGCAAATCTGACCTGATTTTGCAGCCGCACTGTTAGTTCTGTCGTTAATACACCAGCTTAGTGAATAGGTCCGTTCTTAAAATGCAGGCGTGAATTATATGCAAACGTCCTAAAGAACGATGAATTCACGAAACGACGAATACAATCGGGTGAATGACAACTGCTTAGTAAAAAAACTTTAAATGACAGAGGTATTCTGAGACCAAATAAACCACAAGCATTCATGTCAGGAATAACAGGAGTGACGAATTTTGACCAACAAACACAACTTTTTTAGAGAAATCAAAAGGCAAAGTCCAACGAATAAAAATTTATTCATGCAATCATGCCCTTGGAGCAACAGGACGTGTGAACTTAACTCGAGGTTTAACTATAATCCTTCTGAGACGCCTTGATTCCCGACTACGATTTCGAAGAACTTTGCTGTGGATGGCACAACTGATACAGTATTGGAGTTTGACGTACAATTTGGGAACGGCGTAGTTTTCTGGAATAAAGCATTAAAAAACATTAGGTTAGCACTAAACACCAGTTAAAAAGATTAATCTCTTATTTTAAAGTATACAGCCCGTATCTGTGTCAGTTGGTACTGTAATAACTGACTCTGCAAAAGCTGATTTTACTCTAGGACAATGAGTGGTTCCGGACTGCTCATGACCCGGAACGTATCCATGTCCAACAACTCAACTAAAATGCGACTTACTGCCATACACCGACGCGTCTTCCAAATCTTTAACGGCGGCGGCTTCTACCATACTTCGTGTCACTAGTTTCCATACAGATTTATCTTTAGGACATGCTCGACCACAATTCGTACAACGTATGAAGCCAACATGACCTCGGCCTTTCTTCGACCTACCATGATTCCTTCGTTTACGAGTCTAATAACAACATTAACTCGAACTTGTTACAACACCAACTTACCATGCCTCCGTACAATGTGCCCTCTGTGGTTGTGCTAAGAACTTAAACAAATAAAGCTCAAACCTCAATCCTCAATCGCGGGTAATTGAAACTTCATCATGTCTTGACCCAATATGAAAACAATGAATCAGATCTTCTTATATATTTATCTTATTCCATGAATAGCTTTAAAAAAATTAAAAGGCTGACCAACAAAGCTGACGAACAGGGAGCAGTCGAGCATCAAATTTCCATATTATATGTTGTAGATATTGTATTGGGGATACTTCAGATAAAATATCTCTGAAATGTCCAGCACAAATGAACAAGAGCGTGATTAGGAGTGGTTGAAAGCAATCAATATGAACTCCTGGACCTACGTTTTTTCTAGGCGGTTTTCGTCACAAAGCATAATCTGCAACATTTAAAATAACTCTGTTCGACTTGTAGAGGTAAAAAAATCCCCGAAATCAATACATGAAAAGAGCGGCGAAGTTTACGATAAATCGAAATTACATTTGCACCAATTTTACACTAGTGTATTGTACCACACGGCTTCTTATAGTAAGCAAAGACAACCAGACGCCGCTGAACACTGCAAGGTATCAGAAGAGTGTTTACCAACGACAAACTAGTTGGGTTTAAACTTCTGGCTGGCCACATCTTAGGGTCATCTTTGCATCACTAAGGGGGCAATGATCTGGAGCGATAAATAAACCCCGAAATCAATGGCTCTATAAGTCTTCGATATTTGGTTCTGATCGCATCAGTTTTAATGTACTCACCTAGCTGAAGAGCTCGGTCATGCATCCGCACCAGATTATTATTATTATTATTATTATTAATGGCTTTATTCGAGTGAGTACGCCATGCTTCATTTCTCTCACAACCACTAGCCAGCTTAGATTGACCACTTCTCGACATATCGATATTCTGTCAAATATATCTTCGAACCTCTTCGCTTCTGGCTTTTGATTGCACAGGGTTGGCACATTTTGATTATAAGAGGTGTTACTGGTTAAGCTATTGTCAAATTCCGAATACTTGTTGCATCTCTAGTGGTGTGTCTGGCGTGATGTGGTACACCAAGTTGTAAACTGGGAGTCTGTTCCTCTTTATGGAGGAGCATAGGCCGCTCACCAGCATTCTACATTCAACCGTGTCCTGGGCAATCCTTTCCTGCTCCTTCCAGTTGTAATTCATCTTTTTCATATCTACTTCTATTTCCCGACGTAATGTGTTCTTTGGCCTTCCTCCTTTCCACTTCCCTTCAGGATTCCAAGTTAGTGCTTACCTCGTGATGAAGTTTGACGATTTGTGTAATGTATGTCCTATCCATTTCCATCGTCTTTTCCTAATTTCTTCTTCAGCTGGAAGCTGGTTTGTTCTCTCCCATAAAAGGCTAATGCTTATGGTATCCGGCCAATGGATGTTGAGTATCTTGCGTAGACAGCTATTTATAAATACTTGTACCTTCTTGATGGTGGTTGTTGTAGTTCTCCAAGTTTCAGCTCCGTACAGTAGAACTGTCAGGACGTTCGTATTGAAGATTCTCACGTTGATATTCGTTGAAAGTTGTTTTGAGTTCCATATGTTCTTCAACTGTAGGAATGCTGTCCTTGGTTTGCCAATCCTTGCCTTTACGTCTGCATCCGAACCTCCTTGTTCATCAATGATGCTTCCTAGGTATGTGAAGGACTCTACATCTTCCAGAGTTTCGCCATCAAGAGTGATTGGATTGTAGTTTTCCGATTTGAATTTGAGGACTTTGGTTTTCCCTTTGTGTATGCTGAGGCCTACTGATGCAGAGACTGCTGCTACACTGGCTGTCTTCATCTGCATCTGTTCGTGTGTACGTGATAGGAGGGCTAGGTCATCTGCGAAGTCCAAATCGTCTAATTGATTTTGAGCTGTCCATTGAATTCCGTGTTTTCCTTCAGATGTCGAGGTCTTCATAATCCAGTCAACCACCAGAAGAAAGAGGAAGGGAGAGAGTGAACAGCCTTGTCTAACTCCGATCCTCACTTGGAATGCATCTGTCAGCTGTCCTCCATGCACGACTTTACACTGTAGTCCGTCGTATGAGTTCCGGATAATGTTGACAATCTTCTCAGGAACTCCGTAGTGTCGAAGAAGTTTCCATAATGTCCTCCTATCTACACTGTCGAATGCTTTTTCATAATCAATGAAGTTGATGTATAGTGATGAGTTCCACTCAACTGATTGTTCGACGATGATCCATAGTGTTGCAATTTGGTCTGTGCATGATCGATCCTTACGGAATCCAGCTTGTTGATCTCGAAGTTGGGCGTCTACTGCATCTTTCATCCGGTTCAGCACCACTTTGTTGAAGACCTTCCCTGGTATTGACAGCAGTGTGATGCCTCTGTAGTTCTCACATTTGCTAAGGTCTCCTTTCTTTGGAATCTTGACGAGGTGCCCTTCTTTCCAGTCCATCGGCACTTGTTCCTCCTCCCAAATCTTTTTGAATAGAAGCTGAAGCATGTTTGTAGTTGCTTCGATGTCGGACTTCAATGCTTCAGCTGGTACATTGTCGGGTCCTGCTGCTTTCCATCTCTTGATTTGTCTGATGGCCATTCTGATTTTTTCCGTCATTGGTGAATTGACATATATAAGAAGATCTGTGTGTGCTGCTTCGATGTCCGGTGGGTTTATTGGAGCCGGCCTATTCAGGAGTTCCTCGATTAATTCTACCCATCTGTTCCGCTGTTGTTGAATTTCGGTGATTGGCTTGCCTTCTTTGTCTTTGACCGGTCTTTCTGGTTTACTGTATTTCCCTGCTAGTTTCTTCGTTGTATCGTAAAGCTGTTTCACATTTCCTTCTCTTGCAGCTCTTTCCGCCGTCGTTGCTAGTTCTTCCACGTATTTCCTCTTGTCGGCTCTAATGCTTCTCTTCACTTGTTTGTTTGCTTCTATGTATTCAGCTTGTGCTTGGACTTTCTCTGCTCGTGTTCGGCTGTTGTTTATTGCTACTTTCTTGTTCTTCCTTTCTTTGATCTTGTCCAGTGTTTCTGTAGAGAACCATTCCTTATGATGGTATTTCTTTAGACCCAGAACCTCTTGACACATTAAAGTTAATGCTTCCTTGATGCCTTTCCAGTTGTCCTCCATACTAGTCTCTTCTTCCTTCCGTAGATCTTGTAAGGCTTGGAACCTGTTGTTGAAAGCTATTTTGAATTCGTTGATTTTGTTAGAATCTTGAAGGAAGGCTGTATTGAACCTTTGTAGTGCTGTTTGTCCAGTTGTCCAGTTCTTCTTTAGCTTCAGTTCTAAATTTGTCACAACTAGGTGGTGATCTGAAGCTACGTCAGCGCCTCTCCTGGTTCTCACATCTTCCATTATCCTTCGGAATTTTTCGTTGATACAAATATGATCTATCTGGCTCTCTGTAGTGTGGTCCGGTGAGATCCATGTAGCTTTGTGTATACGTTTGTGTGGAAATATTTTGCCTCCTATGACCACTTTGTTGAATGCACACATTTGCTAATCTTTCTCCATTTTCGTTTCTCTCACCCAGTCCATGTCGTCCCATGATATCTTCATATCCATTGTTGTCAATTCCGACTTTGGCATTTAGATCTCCCATTAGAATGGTGAGGTCGTTTCTTGGACACTTCTCTATGATTGCCTGCGGCCGCTCGTTGAAATGATCTTTAATGTCGTCGTTGCTATCATTGATGGGTGCATAACATTTGATAATATTCATCGTGATCCCCTCCTTCTTTGTTTTGAATGATGCTTTGATGATTCCTGATCCATGAGATTCTCATCTTACAAGTGCATTTCGTGCTACTTTGGACAGCATTAGAGCAATTCCTTGAGGGTGCGAAGCATTTTCTTCTTCGTGACTGGAGTAAAGCAGCATCTCTCCCGCATTCAGCTTTTGTTGTCCAGCTTGGATCCAACGGGTTTCGCTGATTCCCAGTACTGACAAGTTGTATCTCATTTCCGTTGCTATTTGACTGGTCTTCCCGGTTTCCACACTGTTTGGACGTTCCATGTACCAATAATAAGTTTTGCTCTGGTTGTTAGAAGGGGCATCGGCCTCGTGGCTTCCAAAGGAACTCGGCTTTCATCATGAAGCGTCATAATTCTTCTAAACGAAGACCTTCTAACTTTCAGGGCAGAGTTTAAATAATTTTTCTGGTAAGCGTTTTTTTAGCGAGTTAGTTTTCTACGGGATGGGGGCGCTAACCTAATGCCCAACCCTCCTCCTCTATCCGGGCTTGGGACCGAAGTAACTCTAGAAGACTAAATAAAATTAAATTTGTGTTCAATATAGAGCTCACCAATTTTGTGTCTGAAAGTAACGCTCGTTCTATTGATAGGAGAAACCAGACAAGTAGTGAATAGGTCTTTATTTAGATCATGGGACCGTTACAGTGGCGCGGGAGGCTGCCTGTCTAAACACACAAAGCTTTTCAACTTCCAATATGATATAATATGAAATATAACGCCTATACGAAATAAGGAAGCGAATGAATACTTGAGCTATGTTGTTTTGATTTATACTTATTTGTTTGAGGAGAACTACTGACTAATTATCCTAAGTTGTTACAGCTTCACATTCACAATTTGACAGATACCTTGAAACATTTGACTGTTTTTTTCGGTCAAAACACACAACCGAATTTCCATGACTACTGACGACATTCCTAAAACCTCTATCATCACACCTTCCGTACTCTATGAATTTTCGTACACGTTATTCAGCGAAGTTTTGATGAATCGAAATTTCCGTTTGTACCCGTTTCACACTACTGTATTGTACCACATGGCTTCTTATAGTGAGTAAAGACAACCAGAGGCTGCTTGTAAACGCAACTCAATTTCGTAAATGTGGCCTTCAGCTTAGCAATCAATCAGAATGAGGCAGGATTTATTACATCCGCCATCTTTGTATGCACTGGCGGTGGACTTTCTCCTTTCTGTGTTTTTTCAGCTATTTCTTTTGTGTAGCTATGTTTCAGTGTGCTAAAATGCCGCAGTTAGTGTAATGTTCTATATGTTGGTGTGAAATTTATCTCGAATCCGCATTGTTTTTTGGGTTTTTGCTGCTTCTACTCTAGTCAAT